TAATTCAGAAAGTTTTTTGTGTTACTTTAAACTCAATATAAATGAAATCTTTTAAAATCGCTAACTTTTTCAGTTTTTTTTAAAATTTGAATTTTTAACTGTTCCGTCCACAACCCGGAACAAATTCCAATGCTAGATGCTAAAACACCAGATGAAGTGTAGATTTTCAATCCCGGGATTATCCTGATTCCAAAAAGGTATATTATGTCTATGGAGAGAAAACATGGCCTGAGTTCAAGTGGTTTCGGATACACGGACGGTAAACAAATTACCGCTTATTTATTTAGATATATGGCTTATAAAAACAATTTTCGGTTCCATCAGAGTCGAATTATACCTTTTTACTATTTTTCCTAATCCCTGTTCTGCCATGCATTTACATAAAGTCGTCAGATAGATTTTGAATTGCTTTCCTCTGTCCCTCTTGCCTCCAATATGTAGTACCTTCTATCGTCACGCATGGGGGAGGATGAAATCGTTAAGAAAGGTGATCGCATAATATGCAGAAACAAACAATGCGTCTATTTAAACTGACACCAGGAGGATATGTGTTAAAGGCACATAAAACCATGGTGCGGACAGAGAGAGAGAGAAAGAGTGTGAGAGAGAAAGAAAGAAAGTGAGAGAGTGTGTGGGAGAGTGAGTTAGAGAGAGTGAGAGTGAGTGAGAGAGTGAGAGTGTGAGAGAGAGTGAGCGAGAGAGAGAGCGAGAGAAAGAGAGTGAGAGAGAGAGTGAGTAAGAGAGAGTGAGTAAGGGAGAGTGAGAGAGAGTGAGTAAGAGAGAGTGAGAGAGAGTGAGTGAGTGAGAGTAGTGTGAGAGAGAGGATGAGTGAGAGAGAGAGTAAGTGAGAGTTAGTGAGTGAGTGAGGGAGAGAGATAGAGATAGAGAGAGAGTGTCGAAAATGAAATCGGTGTATGACGCATTTGAACACGAACTCCTCTTACTGACGAATCCTCGGCAATATATGAACGCATGGCGTTGAAATACACACCAACCAATAGAATGTCTTAACGAGATTTAGTTCACATCATATCGTCGTCAATTTTATTTCGTATCTCAGAATTTCATTACTTCTTTGATGATCGCTTCCATTATGATGATGACTAAATTCACTGCCAACGTGATTGTTCAGAAGTATTGCCGTTTAGCTTTCCAAGAGTTGGTTGGAGGTGAAAGAAATCAGAGTAGAAGAAAGTGTCTGTTGTGTCAATTTGTTAAGGTGGGCTTCAACTTGCCATAAATGACCTATACACTTGATTTCATGACCTTACCCTGCGGGGCATATAGAATGGGACATGCAGAGTCCAGTTACAAAACTGCAACGGACTGACACTGACTCTGTGATAATTTCAGTGCCTTTTGCAGCATGTTGTTCATACGTAGCTCTCTTCATCCCCTGGTTCAACCGTTGTGATTTATTGCAATCGTCATCTATCTATCTATCTATCTATCTATCTATCTATCTATCTATCTATCTATCTATCTATCTATCTATCTATCCATCTATCTATCCATCCATCTATCTATCTCCATCTCATCCCCATCCATCTATCCATCCATCTATCTATCTATCCATCTATCTATCTATTCTAACTCATATTATCCATCTATCTATCCATCTCTATATCTATCTATCTATCTATCCATCTATCTAATTCTAGTCATATCTCCATCTATCTATCTATCTATCTAATTCTAGTCATCCATCTATCTATCATCTCATCTATCTATCTATCTCTCTATCTATCCATCTATCTCTCTATCTATCTATCTATCTATCTATTCTATCCTATCTATCTATCTAATCTCTATCATCTATTCTATCTATCCATCTATCTATCTATCTATCTATCTGTCTATTCATCTATCTATCTATCTATCTCATTCATCTATCTATCTATCTATCTATCATCCATCTATCTATCCATCTAATCCATCTATCTATCTATCATCTATCTATCTATCTATCTCTCTCTCTCTCTCTCTCTCTCTATCTATCTATCTATCTAATCTATCCATCTATCTTCTATCCATCCATCTATCCATCTATCTAATTCTATCATATCTATCTATCCATCTATCTATCTATCCATCCTCTCTCTCTATCTATCTATCCATCTATTCTATCATATCTATCTATCATCCATCTATCCATCTATCCATCTCTCCATCTATCCATCTATCTATCTAATCATCTAGTCCATCATCTATCCATATCTATCTATCTATCTAATTCATTTTCATATCCATCCATATCATCTATCTAGTCATCATATCTATCTATCTATCTATCTATCTATCTCTATCTCTCTCTCTCTCTATCTATCTATCTCTCTCTATCTATCCATCCATCTATCCATCTAATTCTATCTATCTATCTATCTATCTATCTCTCTCTCTCTCTCTCTCTCTCTCTCTCTCTCTCTATCTATCTATCTATCTATCTAATTCTATATCTATCTATCTATCTATCTATCTATCTATCTATCTATCTATCTCTCTCTCTCTCTCTCTATCTATCTATCTAATTCTAGTCATATCTATCTATCTATCTATCTATCTAATTCTAGTCATATCTATCTATCTATCTATCTATCTATCTCATCTATCTATCTATCTATCTATCTACCTAATTCTAGTCATATCTATCTATCTATCTATCTATCTATCTATCTATCTCTCTCTCTCTCTCTCTATCATCTATCATCTAATTCTATCTATCTATCTATCTATCTAATTCCATATCTATCTATCTATCTATCTATCTATCTATCTATCTATTCTATCATATCTATCTATCTATCTATCTAATTCTAGTCATATCTATCTATCTATCTATCTATCTATCTAATTCTATCTATCATATCTATCTATCTATCTATCTATTCTATCATATCTATCTATCTATCTATCTATCTATCTATCTATCTATTTGTGGATCAGATTTTCTAGCGGAAATCAAAGCAAAAATACATTTGACAAATTGCTTTCTTCTGAACATCGATGGGAGAATGTTTCGCTATGCACGTCACTAAACAAAATCTCCGTAAATAGATGAATATCTTGATATACAGAGAAAGAATGAAATGACCTGACATACATAAAAAAAAGAATTAAATATATAGATAAATAGAACGAGACTGATATAAGGAAAGACTGATGTCGACAGGTGTGTTGTTGTCATTTGTCATAATAAATTTTAGTCACATTGAAAGTCTTGCAGAAAAGAAGGACAACAAAATAAGAAAGGATAATTTTACATTTTTTACGCGACAAGAAATGAAGTTTTTAATCGAAACAAAATGTCACTTTCACTTACCACTGTTGTCACTGAAAGCATACAAGAGAATCTAATCTGGAAAAATAGTAGGGGGTGAAATTAAATTCATTTTTAGAAAATGAACACATACATAAAATATTATAACGCCATTATTTTATAGCTATCGTTATAACACGCACTTATATATAATACGCACTTATATAACGTACTTCGTATAAACAATTTCTGTAGATAATACTTCAGCTACTTGCTGTGACGCATGTATTAGTTCGTCTGAAGACTGACTGCAAACGGCTAGGGTATTTATCCAGGCCTCCCCAATTAGGCAGGATGCGACATAGGGTCAGATTTAACGTGGGAAACACGAGCGCGTACACTCGGGCCGCTGGTGCAAAACTTACGCACTCCCTGTGTTATAACCTAAAAAAGGTTACTGAATAAGAATAACCAAAACGAAAGTTGGAAATGGAACCATAAGATTCGCCAGCGGCGTGTAGTAAGTAATTCCCTGCTTGTGGTGAACTAGTGGTGAATCCCCCCGCCAGACAGTATATTCCACTGTATTTATGAGGATTACGACAAACTCATTATAGTCCATAGGTACGGTATAACACCCTGTAAACGTGGGGAACGGACACTTTTGTTTGACTGAACCTAGATTCTATCCGTAGACAGGGCCCCGATTGTGTCATCCTCTGCCCGAAGACACAGGTCTTGTCAGTCATAAGCCAGAGAGCGAACTGTCTGACGTCAAACGGCTAGGTATTTAGCTATGCATTCCCAGTTAGACGGGATGCGATACAAGGTCAGATTTAACGTGAGAAACGCGAGCGCGTACACCCGGGCCGCTGGTCCAAAATTGAACCGCGGGAAATGAGCACTTTGCTCGTCTGTTCTACTTAGCCGAGTTTCTATGCGTAGACAGAACCCTGAATGATTCACTCTCTGCAAGAAGACAGAGGACTTGTCAGTCACAAGCCAGACAGCGAATTGCCTGACTCGAAACGGTTAGGTATTTACCCATGTCTCTCGATTTAGATGGAATGCGACATAAGGTCAGGTTTAACGTGGAGAACATGAGACCGTACCCTTGGGTCATGGGTTCAAAATTTACCAATCCTTACAATTACGTCTGTTTTTCTCAGCCGATTCTCTATCTGTAGAAAGAGCGCAGACAGAGTCGTCCACTACCCGAAGACAGATTTCTTATCAGTCGCAAGCCAGACAGCGAACTGCCTGACCCCAAACGGCGAGTTTTTAACTGTGCCTCTCAAGTTAGACAAGATTCGATACAAGGTCAGAACACGAGCGCATAAACTCGGGCAATTGGTCCAACTTTTAGCCATTCCCTAAAAATGAGGGGAACGGATAATTTGCTTGTCTTTTTTCTCGCATCCGAATCTCTATCCGCAGACACAGCCTTGACTTATTCGTCCTCTGTCCGAAGACAGAGGTCTTGTGAGTTAAAGGCTGACACCGAACTGCCTGACTAGTAACAGCTAGGTATTTACCCAGGCCTCTCCACTTAGACTGGAAGCAACACAATGTCAGGTTTAAACTGGTGAACCCGAGCAAGAACTCTCGGCCAACTGGTCTAAAATTTACCCATTCCCCACAACTGCGAGGAACGTGAACCTTGCTTATCTGTTTTTCTTAGTCGATTCTCCGGGGACAGACATCCGTTTGAGAGATCATCAATCCTAAGACAAAGGTCTTGCCAGACGCAAGGCAGACAGCAAAATGCCTGACTCGAAACGGCTAGGTATTTACCCAGTCCTCCACTTAGAAGTAATGCGACACAAGGGAACCCAAGAGCGAACCCTTGCGTAAGTGATCCAAAATTTACCCATTCTCTACAACTGCGGGGAAAACGGATATTTTGCTTGTATGTTTTTTCTCAGCCGAGCATCTATCTGTAGATAGAGCCCAGACTGAGTCGCCCTCTGCCCGTAGGCAGAAGTCTCATCAGCCGCGAGCCATGCAGAGGACTGCCTGACTCGGGACAACTCCGGTAAAACGGGTAGTTGCTTGTCTGTTTTTTTTCTTCAACCGATTCTCTGTCAGTAGACAGAGCCCCGACTAAGTCATCTTCTGCCTGAAGACAAAAGTCTTGTCAGTCGCGAGACAGGCGGCGAATTGCCTGGTTCGAAACGGCTACCCATCTTACCTCTGACCTGGAGCTCTTTATAGTAATGAATTAATTAATATATTCACCGGGTGTGTACTATTTACTCCACAACACACACACACACACACACACACACACACACACACACACACACACACACACACACACACACACAAACACGCACACACACATACATAAATACATACATACATATACATGGTGTCCATAAAATCTCTTTACAATTTAAAAAAAAAAACTATTACAAAAGCAAATGAACAGACAATTATGTGGAAATTGTAAAAAAATGAGAAGTAGGTACTGAATATTTTAACTAATTTAATACAATTTGTTTATAGGCGCCATTAGTTGCACGAAGAACTTCAAAACGGTACTCGATTTCTTGCCATGTTGATAAGCCGTAAAAAACATATCAATCAATCAAATTGATTCAAAAAACAGCAATCAGATATGCAGGAAGTCCATAAGTTCTCTTTACAATAAAAAAACAAAAAACAAAAAACAAAACATTATTACAATGGAAAATTAACAGTTAAATATGTAGAAATTGTTACAAAATAAAGAGTAGATATTGAAGTTTTTTTAAACTGATTTCATCCACCTGTGTTTAGTTTCCATTTAGTTACAGAAAGCACATCAAGACGGTACTTGGTTTCTTGCCATGTTCACTGTAGCATATCCTCATCAAGGGTTGACAATAACATCAGTGATCTTTTGCTTTAGATCAGTAATGTCCCGTATCTTTATTCAATACACAATATCTTTAACATAACCCCATAGAAAGAAGTCCAGAGGAGTGTAATCTGGTGAACGAGGTGGCCAGGGAATTGGATCATTCCTTCAAATCCCCCGGTTTGGAAATGTTTAATTTAGGAACCTACAAACATCCGGTTCCCAATGCGGTGGTCACCGTCTTCCTGGAAAATTATGGTTGGTTGAAGGTCATCTAGCTGTGGTGCCACATCAATTGCCTTTGTAATATATTTTTAAATTATAAAGAGACTTTATGGATACCCTGTATACAGAGTGTATGAAAAATACTTTTACACACTTTTTATGTGGGTTTCCCACACCCAAAAAAAGACAAATTCTATATAAACTTATGTATGCAGATCCATCGCGTTTGAGTTAGTAAATTTAAAGTTTACAGTAGATGTTGTCGAATGTACAATCAAAGATATAATCCAAAAATACTTTTACAAACTTTGGAGGCGGGAACCTGACAACGCGACGATAAACAGCAGCAAATGTTACATGACTCGGCTGCCTTCGATGTGGAAACACAATCGGATACAGCTTTGTAGCCTTGTGTCTATTACCACTCGCGCGGCCGTATGTAAAAACCATATCTGCCTGGTCACAATATGAATATTCTGCCATTATAAAACACTTCTCAGTTAACACAATACGAAACACGTTAAACGTTGAAGACTGACAAGCCACAAATGTACACGAAATGTAACCAAGTCTCATGGCAACATAGCGCCATCAATTCTAAATTTCCTTAAACTTAACTTAAAAACGAAGGATCTGAGGTTAATTTTTTATATGGATATTTGTCCTTGTTTTGGTGTGAGGAACCCGCTCCCAATGTTTGTAAAATTAATTTTGATACACCCTATATATATATATATATATATATATATATATATATATATATATATATATAAATAAATATTTATATATATATAATGAATAAATATTTATATATTTAATATATATATATATATATATATATATATATATATATATATATATATATTGAGAGAGAGAGAGAGAGAGATAGAGATAGATATAGATAGATAAAGAGGTAATGAATAAACAGAGATAGATAATAACTACAGGTATGTAGATAGATAGATAGATAGATAGATAGATGTCAGAGTGTATTGTGCAATTCGATGCTTTCTCAGCACAATTGATATAAATCAACTTATTTGTAAACAATTTCAGCATATCTTTATATGAGAAATATACTGTATCAGTTCATCGTATTTATCCTTATTAAAGATATTAATAATAATTTGTTTGTTGGTGTCAGGCCTTTTTTATCAAATGACCTAATAAACGAACTGCCTTCTGATTTCCTGCTATTTAGCCACCTACAACCTTCCAGATTAAATGTAACGCAAGTTGCCATTTTCTGTCTTCCTGAGTGCTCTTCTTTTATTGGCCTTTCTCCTAACTTCTCACAAAAGTATTCTCATACTCCCAATAAGCCATTGCGTCTTAGTGGCATTAGCCTATTGCATGTAGTGAAATGATAAAAAAAAAAATGCCTAAATGTAATCTACTCCTTTATTTAGGAATGAATCGGGTATTTATTGTCCACGGACTAATTGACGTCTCAGCTTCAGTCACTCCCAACTGCCGTTGCTTCTCTTTGTCTCCTAAAAATATTTTCACAGTAATTCTGCTGATCATTTGGAAAGACAGTAACCCCTCGCATCCTAGTGGCATTATCATTTCGCCTGGAGTGAATTAATTGAAAAAGATAAAAGAAATAAAATTTTCCCTATAGTTAAAAAAAAAATCAATATAGTCATTATTGCATTCAAGCTCGAAAATAAAATTTCTTAAGAACGTAAATAGGTTCCAAATAGTACCTGTTATACATGCACAAACAAATATATATATATATATATATATATATATATATATATATATATATATATATATATATATATATATGCGCAGTACTTATTGGAAAGTGCTCAATATCATTGATAGTGCTAACATATTCATTTGTATAGATACGAGTTTGTGACTCTGGGTTTCATGCTTTTGCAATCATCAGACAAACCTTTGTATCATGATCGCAAAAGCGTGAAAAACCAGGATCACAAATGAATATATATACTAATGAATATATATATATATATATATATATATATATATATATATATATATATATATATATATGTGGAATATAAAATATCACACATTGAGTACTGGTGCTAATAAAATAATACTTGATATATAACAACGAAACTATAACTTATATTAATAATAAATATATTTTTATTTCCTCATCGGTAGCACAACTGATGCACAATGCCATCTGTCTTCCTGAGTGCTCTTATTTTATTGGCCTTTCTCCTAACTTCTCCCCCCAAAAGTATTCTTATACTCCCAATAAGCCATTGCGTCTTAGTGGCATTTGCCTCTTGCTTGAAGTGAAATGATAAAAAACGGCCTAAATGTAATCTACTCCTTTATTTAGGAATGAATCGGGTATTTATCGTCCACGGACTAATTGACATCTCAGCTTCAGTCACTCCCCACTGCCATAGCTTCTCTTTGTCTCCTAAAAATATTTTCACAGTAATTCTGCTGCTCAGCTTTCCTCGTTGGTATCTTGCCATCACGAAGTTAAGCGCAGCGCTAGATTAGCAGGTAAACCTGATAATTTCACCTGAAATTGATAGTTTTAAACCCAAGTCATGTGCTTATAGTTTTCATCTCTCAGACTTTTCCCTTGTAGAACTCTCTTCCAGCTTCTTGATCTCCTGTCAACAACAATCTTCAAAAAATTAAATTCAATGTCAATCGTCATCTTCTGTCTTATTGAATCTTGTCCTTTTATTATTCTTTGTTTCTTTCACTCTAAGTAACCTTTTGCCTCTTGTGGCTTTTATTCCCTTGCTTGGGGTAAAATGATAACAAAAGTTCCTTGAGTAAATATTTATTCTATTATTTTGCGTATTGCTACGGGTGACTTGATATTCCAACGTCTTCTTCAGGGTTTCGATCATTCATTTTCTTATCCTTTCTTCTGTTTCGACTTTAAACTTTCTTAGGTGATTTTCTATCGCTTTTTATAGATCTTTGACTGAATTTTGTTTTTTATTCTCACATATATTTTAATGTTTTTTCTTCGATTAATATCTGTTGACGTTGGGGACTATTGCATTAAATTGATGTCTTCGAAAATTTTTACTTTCGCAAAGTGGGAAATTGTTGGCTTTTCACCAATTCGGCATTTATGATTAGAAAACGCCATGCCACTTCCACGGAGACAAATCCACCCCCCGCCCCGCTTTATTTTCTCCGTGTTCCAAATGTTTGAAGAAATTTCCACTCAATCAGATTTTTTTTCAAGAACTCCTTTATTCCATTCGTATCATTCAGCTCATTCATCAATAACATTTAGATTTTAGTACTCTATCTTGAATGGTTCTCGGGCCTTGGGCGGGCCTTTGGTATTAAAGATTATATAATATCTGTTAGCTACGGTGTTAGACTTTTTTAAAGTTCGATACCATTTTTAAGAACCAGTCTGTCCTCACACACATACACAAACACACACACACACACATTCATATATATATATATATATATATATATATATATATATATATAGTGCAACAGAAATACTTCCCACATATATCTCCCAGAAATATTTCCTAGATAATAATAAAACATTAGTGGCAATAGTGTCTTCATCTAGCTTACAATTATATGGGAAGTATTTCTGGGCGATATATGTGAGACGTATTTCTACCGGAATCTATCTATCTATCTATCTATCTATCTATCTATCTATCTATCTATCTATCTATCTATCTATCTAGGTAGCTAGCTAGCTAACTAGCTCACATGACTTAAAATATTTTTGCCCTTCCTTGCCTTTAAAGGGTGCCTTTTTTCCGTGCTGATGTTGCTACATGCCTTACTTCTTGCCTATCTCACACCGCTAATTTTTTCTAAGCTCTATACTAAACATTAAATCTGTTACGAAAAAGAAGTAAACAAAATGAACACAAAACGATCAGCTTTAAAAAAAAAAAACTCGTAACTTGAAAAACACACACACACACACACACACACACACACACACACACATCCCTTGAACAAACTTTTATAGATAGAGATATATATGTCAGCATTGAAGTCAACACTCAGAGGCGACGATTGAGTCTAGCATGTAATAGCCTGTCGCCTCCGAGTGTTGACTTCAATGTTCACTTTTATATTTTACATACGCTCTATCTCTGATATTAAGCACTTTATCTCATAAATATAGCACACCTTAAAACTATATATATATATATATATATATATATGTGTGTGTGTGTGTGTGTGTGTTTGTGTGTGTGTGCGTGCGTGCGTGTTCGTGTGTGTGTAAAGAAAGAAAAAATGACAATGTCATCTAGACACGATAGACAATTTATTTATTTTTTTCTAGGGATTTATGCTTACAAAACTTATATATGCTTTACTGTTACTTATTCTATAATCAAATGACTAAACATTCGTAAATCTTATATGAACTTGAGGTTAATTTAAACTTTTTCTCAGTTTTTTTTTAGAATTATTCGCAGTCAATGTCATTTAGCTCAGCTAATCCCAGTGATTAGTGCTTCAAATAAGCCTGAAAACTAGACAGACAAATTGTCGGCAAAAACATTAACCGAAACCCCTGACCATGAGTTTTTACACTGCCTTTTATTGTTCGACCAAGGATAACCATTAGATTTGGAGGAATCCACAATTTACCAATAAATTTGAAACCTCTCCGTTCCGTTTTCCCACGAGGGAATTGGACGGCTGATGTGGTGATAGTGTTTGTTTAATTACCAAATGTGTACATTGGGTTGATTACTTGCCACAGTTTACGGGCTTTACACATAGGCAAAGGAAGTACAAATAAGAAAGTCTCACGTCGCCCACAAGCAAAATACTGAATGCTCAATTGAATGTCGTTGTCTTTAGTTTAATCTCATGCATTTCTTGCTTGTCACGCCTTCTATGCTGCCTGCCTCATCAATGCATAACTCTTTATATACGACTTCACGTTCAATCCGTTAGCGTCACTTGAAAAATCAGAAATTGTTGTCAATGAATGAAATATCTATTCCATAAAAAAACGTTACGAATTCCTACTTTACATTTAAAAATTCTTAACTGAAAAGAATACAACCCCTAATTACCCAATAAAAAAATAGTCCGTTTATTTCGCATTTGGTTTGATGTAAAATCTCGTTTAGACATTATGCCTCTTCTATGAAATCGAAAAACTCTTAATCAACCTTTAAAGGTAATGGATACGGTAAAGAACATTACAAACGAAAATTATCGCTAAGCAATCAAATTCAAAACGTTGAAATATAGTAATTAGATTAGATATAATCAACCGAAAGATGCCTTCCAAAATATAAGCAAAATATTAAGAAACAGGAAAATTTCGTTATAAAAAGAAAAGAGTGCTGAACTTTTACGTAATATCGGTCCTCATATATGGCTGGACAAGAAACTGGGAAATATGGTTCTATGTATGGATGCTGAGAATACCATGAATTGAACATGTGAGTAGTAAGGAAGTTTTAAGGAACATGTATCCCCCCTGACCCCCCAAAAGACGCTTATACTTAAAATCAGTAATAGGCAGTTGGAATCTCTTGGACATGTAATGAGGAATGAGGAATTGGACAATTTGACCCTCACAGGACATTGAAGGCAAGAGACAGGGGAAAGCGGCGACTAACTTAATGAAACTCCGCAAAAGACAGAACAGGGAGTGGAATGGATGAGAAAATGAGAAAATTTATTAAGCGTTACAAAATATAGGGAGTTGTGAGCCATTATCGACAGCATTTTGAAAAGACACGGTATATAGAAAGAGCTACTTAAACGAATTCACACTTTTGTTTTTTTTTTTAATGTGGTATGAATAAAAGTTACTGATTTCTTCTTTTTTTGGATAGATATTAATTTTCCTTTTTAATAAAGTAAAAAAAAAAATGTGTACCGAATAAAAAAAGAAAAAAAACGTTTACTGTAATAAGAAAAATGTCGGATTAAAAATCTTTTAAAAACAGTGTTTACATTTCCGCTACGAAACTAAAGCTAGCTAGAAGTCTTAATGTAAAAAAAAAAAACAAAAAAACATGTCTTCCTTAACAGGTTATTTTGATTTTTCCCTGTCATTGCGAATTCGTGGCCGAATAAATTAAAGCAAACCTTGACTTAAGAAATAGTTTCGCTGACATTAAAAAAAAGAGATTCAGATTCGATTTCTGTCGGAATCTTTCTTTATTAAGAATTTTCAATTTAGGTGGATTGTTATGAATTTTCAATTCAGGTGGATTGTTATGAATTTTACTGTTTAATAAAATGGAGAAAGAAAACAGGAATATCAACTCAAAATAAGAATGACGTTCAGAGTCACAAGAAATACTGATTTCTCTGAAAATTAAAAGAAAATAAACGAAAATAATCTAAAAAGTCTCGAAAAACATGGATATCGAATCTCGTTTTTTATAACCAGAATCATTTTTAAAATCCACCCCCCCACCAAGAACGTTAACAAACGCCTTTACACGATTTCCTCAGAGTATGTTTGATTCTTTGAAATGTCATCTTGTAAAAATTATCTTTTGTTTACAAATACTCGTCTTTTATTAAACAAAGCTTAGTACGACTTCAGGTCGGATAAAAAAAAATCGAAAAAACACTGTATTGAACTTATATTTTCAATTTACAACACTCTCCTTGTATTTCTTTAATCAACATTCGAGGTCCCGGTATTTATATAAGCTCAAACCCTGACATATAACACAATTGGCACATATGTACCAATTTTGAGCCATATTCCTTTGGAATACTATTTTTTTTAATCTTTTACAAGATTTAAAAGTAGGAGAACATTTTAGTGCTGCCTATTGGGTATAGCTGTTTGTAAGCTATTCCATTTTTGTCACGAGCCAAATTGGCATCTGACATTTTTCGTAAGTATTTTTGCTTTTGAAAACTAGACTTTATTCTATATAATTTTATATTCAGAAGTTGGTATACAAAGTAATATTTGTATCTCATTTTGAAACTAAACAACATCTATTAATCACTCATACAAAATTACCGAACTAATCAACTTTATTTTTTTATCTTAAGCTATAAATGATGTTACTGTTCCTGCTTAACAGACGCCATCTGCATTTACCCTAGAAAAAAGTTTCTTAAAAGCTACATTACTCTTCTTAGCACCAAAGATATATTACTTATTTTCCTGTTTTTAACTTTGAACAATGACAACTCATTCGAACATTTTCTAGCACCAAAATGTCTAGCGCCCAAAAGTCTCGAACCAAATTGTCCAGATCGTTCTAGTCACTAATTTTAACTTTTCCAAATAATTTATTAATGCTAGGTCATTGCTTATTAAATCAAAAGAGCATAATTTTCATTTATAAAGTCATATTTCAAAGCACAATGATTCTTTGAGCCTGATTATTTATAAAATGTCTGAACCTCTTATTATTAAGCATTGTTATTATTAGGAATTCTTTAATGGTGATGCTGTTATCTTATTCTAATAGTTATCGGACGAATTTAAAAGACACTCGACAACTGAAAGATCATAGCCAAATTCTAAATAGGAGAGATTATCGAAGGTTAAAAGTTCGTGTGTCGCCGGAATCATATTTATTATTATTATAATTATTATTATTAATTCCTTTGATTTCTGGCGTTTACACATTTCTTTCCGGGTCTCGTTCAGGGATCTAAGGTTAGAAATGGCATCATGACACTTTCCACTGACAAAAAAAAAAAAAAAAAATACATAGATAAAGCCCTTCGTAAAGTGTGGGCTGTACTTGTCAGAACATTTTTTGTACCTCTTTGAGGCATGGACTTCCAGGAATCCCTTCAATTAGTTTACCGCAGCCTTTTCCAACCAATTCTAGGGCTTCAGCTACAACAGGGATTATCGATGTTCCCAAGTGCCATATTTTTGAGATTTCTATTTCAAGGTCCTTTTATTTTGACAGCTTCAAAGATACATTGCAGTCTACAGGGACTGCCATATCAATAAGGAGGCACTCTTTTTGTTTGTGGTCTTTAATAACAATGTCTGAGCGGTTGGCTTTGATTGTTCTGTCAGAGTGTATTGTGTAGTCCCATAGAATTGTAACAGGTTCTATCTCCGTAACCGGGTCTGGGTGGTGTCATACCAGTTTCTTTCAGTTTCCTTCCGGTAGAAGTTGCATGTTTTCCAATGCAGATATTGGCCGACTCTTTCATGTCGGGTTTTATATTCAGTGGGTGCCAATATCGTGCAACCTGATACAAGATGATCAATTGTTTTCGGATACTTTGAGTTTCACACTGGTTTGGTTTGTTTTGTTTTACGGCATATCAACCTCAATGGGTTATTTTTGCCGAATGGACTTTTACAATAGATTCATATGAATATAATATACATTCTTTGTAAGGAATCTGTTTGTAAATCCGGTTTCATTGATATACTTTTGTAAAGAGGGTTGTTGTCGAGAGTCTGCTTTCATTGATCTATTCATAGATTCGAATCTATTCGTTTCAGGTAAATGGTTTGTAGAGAAATTGATTTTGACATTCTCATTTGGTTTATAATTTTTGGTAGAGTCCTACTCTTTTGACAAATGATCTTATATCATCCACTTTTTCTTCTTCAATCAACTGGTACATATTGTTTGTTACAGTATTTTTGTCTTGAGAGAACAAGATCTGAGAACTTGGTTAATATATTTTTAATAGTATATACTGTTTTACATGGCCTTCAAACTAGTTGATCTTTGTTTAATAAGTACGATTG